TCGCTTCATACACTTTCATCCGAAATGCAGGTCCCCCTAATAATGTTATATTAGGAGATTCATCGAAACCAAGTCTCTCTTCGTATCTACGTTATTATTCTCTTTCTATGCTATTATTATTGTTGACACTATAATGAGTTGTAAATCAATGAATACTACGAAAAATGCCTACTGGTTCGCACCAGTAAATGAAAAAATACAGGTATAAATAAAGTCCTTATGCCGGCTCTCGGTCTATTTATCACATCCAATTATGTTATTTTCGGCGCCTTGTATGCCTAAAATTTGTTGTCCTTATAATCAAATAACCAACCCAAGGTATGTGAGTATATAAAGGGTAGTATTGGCCCTATCTAAATAAACAAATAACATATGGTAAGTAAATAGCCAAACAACTCCTTCATGAAGCTCCTTTAGTTTGAAAAAACTTAAAAAAATATTGAAGTGGGTTGACCTCGTTGTCGCAACTTGGTCTTGTGGTCAGGGGGACTATGTAGAACGCACCTAGTCCGAAGTCGTCTGTCATATTAGTTGTCATGAGCCCCAGCATCTGACAGTGGACTTGGTACATTCTCGGACGTTTCGCCGGCATCATCAGTGAGTGCTGCTATTCTCAGCACCAACCTACGAATTCGTCAAAGAGACAAGTGAAGTCGATCCCTCGACAGACGTTCTGCCGAAGACGGTTACACTCTCACTCCTCTTTCTGTCATTGCCTATCTATCTACTCTTTACTCTCTTATCCCACTGCCGCCACATCACAACTTCTCACTTGTTTACATTCTACTCGTCAACTTGTCTGTTTTACAAGTTCGTAGATTGGTGCGGAGAATGGCAAAGCTCACTGATGATGCCGACTACGATGCTGGCGAAACGTTTGAGAATGTATCAAGTCCACTGTTAGACGCCGGGAATCATGACAACTACTATGGCAGACGACTTAGGACTAGGTGCGTTCTACATAGTCTCCCTGACCACAAGACCAAGTTGCGAGGAGACTGCGACCATACCAGAAACCGCAACATCTTGTTCTTCATATCTAAAAAAATTATTAATGGGCTAGCAAAACATCACATCATGCGAATGTATTTAGTGTGAAAATAATATAGCTCAAGGTAAGGAAAACATTTTATATGATGATGCAATGTATATAGCTTTTCTGCTTAAATGGTGTATTATCCCTATTGTAGGGCATCGCATTAATTCAATCAGGAACAAACTTAATAATATAGTGACAATATCGGTTGTGAGAATCTAAGAAATAGCTGGTAACCTAATGGCATCACCATAAATAATGAGAATACGTAACCATAAAAGACCTTAATACACCAGGTTTCAGAAAATAGTACAACGCTAAGGACAAGGAATGGATGCAGAATAACGCTGGTCAATCTTCTAGTATATATACTTGTTAAGTTTGTAAAATGTCTCTTAAGAGCAACCTATAAATGTGCGTATTTAAGGAAAATCACGTTAGAATTTCCTATTCTAAAGATGGTTTTATTTCGCTCTAAAGAGCGTCCTAGGTTTCTCTATTCCCACATTGTCATTTAAAGGCTCAGGCTTAAATAAACTAGCGCATATATTACAATAAGCCATAACGATCAGATAAGAAGCCCAGAGGTACATGCTTACGTCATGTTGCTTTATCTTTCGAAGTTAAGTTCATTATTGCTAGCCCCAAACGAAAATCAATTGTCGCATGAAAACTCGAGCTGATACAAATCATGGTGGAAGCGCTGAATTTCCACTTGACAGGACGTGGACTAAAAATAGGACTGAAAGAATATGAGCTTGTAAGTAAAAAAAATTAATGAAGGTCTCTTATTAGTAGCCGAATGCATTAGGGACTAGAAGGCACAACTTTCGCTGAACGATGAGAGGCTTTTAATTGTAAATAAATTTGGATGAGTTTTGTATTGAAAAGTGTTTTCTAAAAAACCGTTAGTGAAGTTTATATCGTGCATATGCCTCACTAGCGTGTCAACTTTGAGCCGTGCTTGCGAGCCGAACACTCTAAAAATCGCATGGAATTCGACTTACCCAGAAGAGTCAGCCACATGGCCATCTCTTGGAGCAATTTGTGTCACCTCTGCCGGATTTAGCTCCACTGTCGGAACAGCATCAGAGACTGCTAAAGAAGGAATGCCAGCATGTGGAATTAGGGGACTGAGATGCGCCCTCCGACCCAAAGTATGCGACCAAAAGAAGCGCCTTCGAGATTCGGCACTGCCTTTTCCCTCTGGTCTAGCCAGCTGGACGGGTCGGATTCGATACGTCTTTCCAAGATCAGGATCAGTCAGCAAGAGGCTGTTTATCGCATCAGCTGGAGCTCGGATCAGACTATCCTCAAGCGTGGGATCAACAGCGCAAGCGGATGAGAGATAGAACCCAAGCAGGCCATCAACGCCATCATCGTGTCCGGATGGGGTAGTTTGGACGGTCGTGTGAGATAGGCAAGAGGGTAGTGCGTCAGGATCGCTAGAGTACAGAGATGGTTTGGCTAAAGGAATGTGAATTGGGCCGTTGGTTCGAAAGCCGAATCCGAGTTCGTGTGGACGAGACAGCGAAGAAGGCGAAGAGGAACAAGAAAAGGAAAACGGTTGAACGGTACTAGAACCAACGACTTCACCAATGGATCCTTGGACCACCGAAGCTTCAGTTCTTGCTAAAGAGCATGCCTTAAGTGTGGGGCAGGAGGAGGGAGAACGGCTATGTGAATTTAGGTGCTGCATCGAGAAACAAACTGCACCCGCCTCAAGAAGGTCCGGTTTTGGGTGGTTTGCATGGCGACACTTGCTAACGTTAGAAATAAATGGTGTAGTGCGGGTGGCTCCAACGGTGAATGGTTGCCGGGCAGCTATTGGACCCGGATTAGCGGTAGCAGTAGAGTTGAGAGAAGCCGTACAAGAGAGTGGATTGGTCGGCAAGCGAAAAAGGCATTGAATCTGGCACTGCCGTGAGTGAAACTACAACCAATTTTTCAGAGATAAAATAAATGTATTGGATAATAATTGAAAAAAAATCAAACACAAGGATGGAAAAAAGCGACACGCTGTTGTAGAACAATAAAAAAGACATAATGAATGGAATTGAAAATAATCTAACTTTTATTGCGCACCAAATAAGCAAAAAAGAGACGACAGTGGTTGGAAAGAGTAAAAGAAAGGGGCTTTAAAAAAAGGTGAGCTAAAATGTACTAAAATAGACCATCATATTGTGTTGTTATATGACTTTGCATTTAGAAGGAAAATTTGGTTGGGAGAAGTCCTCGGCTCACTCTTCCTCGACTCCGATGAACCCGGGCTGAGCTTTCGTATTTACTAACATGCATCAGAAGAGCCGGAATTCCCACTTTACAAAATAGCGCAAAAATATACTAAACCAGGAAAAAAGGTGTCCGGCTGCAACCCTAATCACTTTTTATACACATTTCCTTGCGATCTTAATGAGGCATCCTATGATGTGACCCGTTTCGTTTATGAGCAGTTTTTCGAGACTACCAGTAGGTGATTTATATATGAAGTGAATTCATCCTGTTGAGCTTAATTCCATTTTGAATGAGTGTTTTGTGAAAAAATTCTTCGAAACCCAACTTTCTTCGCATGTATTCATCATATTTCGTTTAAAATGATAAGAGTACTGGTAGTTGTATTTTCCAACAATCATATAAATAGACCAAATGCCTCCATTGAATTTCACATAACATTGCCTTCCCAAAAGGCGTTCTCAGCCGGACAGAAGTAGCCTGTATTTTCGACCTCGCTATGGGTCTATAGGGCATATGCGAATTTCAAGGAAGGCCAGGCATTTTCTCATATCACATTATGTGGTGAGCGTCGATGAAGAAAAGTAGTATTTGCTGTAGCAATCGACTACGTTACTTATTTTTCGTTTATAAGTAGGCTTTGCCTTTCGAGACTACTAGTAGATCATTTATATATTAGGATCGTGTTTTTCCCCAATCTTAGCAAATAATTATATGGTTCAATTAGAAAGTGGCCTAATACAAAAAAGCACTTTTATTTCCTTAATTATTGGGTAAGTATATTTACAATCTGACAACACGGTAAAGAAGGCCTAGAAGAATTACTAATGCTACTGAATAGAATTGATGGGAAGACTAAGTTCACCGTGGAATTATAAAAGAATAGTAGTTTTCCTTTTCTAGATGTCCTAGTTAGCAGAGGCGAACAAACTGGGTAGAAATGTATATAAGAGACACACATACGAGGGGTTCCCTTAGAATTTATTTTAACTCATACTTATTGCGATTCAAGTAGGTCTAGGTAATCCAACATAATGAGGAGCCTGCGTATTGCAATCATCGGGACTAAGAAGTAGGGCGATTAAGGAACATTTTAGTTTAGAACGATTACCCATCAGGATTAATTGGCAATTACTTTAAAATATTAACAAATAGGATTAAGGTAAGCGCCTATTTAAAAGCAAAATAGGATTCTGGACGATGTTACCGTCGTGTCAGTTCACGAAAAAATAGGTGGATCACAGAGGAAGTGAGACATCAGGACAATGTATGCGGAGAATAAAACACTTTCCTCCATCTCTTCAAATCGACATCTGCAAGATTTTGCATTCATATAGTAGCACTTAAATTCAAATTAATTTCAAGTTAATAGGGTACATCTTATATTAAAGTAGTTATTCGGACTGGAGGGTTATTTACGACTCTATATGGCCAACTGAAGACAAAAAAGGACTTCACTCACAACCCTATGATGGTACGCACAAGTGGGCAATAACTAAATCAATTCAAATAAAGCCTCGCTGAGTTAAGTTGTCCTGTAAGAATGACGCCCTTTAGTCGCTGTCTTGACCTAGTATTGCTATAAGGTTGTGGCTAAAATAGTGTTCAATTTTGAGAATGCTTGTCATGTTACGTCACAAAATGTCCGTCTCCCACATGGCAAATGAAAGCGCACAACTGTAAACAGTGATAAAAATGGTTAGTAGATTAGAGGCTATCTTGATTAAGCGATTAGTGAAGTAAAATGCAAATTTTAAAGCGAAAAAAATTATCTTCGAAAATACGTCGTAAGAAATGGTAATGGAACCAGTCCTCCCACTAATATATATATAATGTATTATCCTTATTTCGTTTAAGGTAATGAGGGAGTTGTAGCAAGATTTTCCAAGTGACATGAGTAGGCATCGCGTTTGCATTAAAGTTCAAATAGCCTTCTTTCCCAAAAGTTATTCTCATCCAGGCAGGAGTGGACTGCAGTTTCGACCTCGCCTAGGCCTCAGAAGCACCCATTCTCAATTAGCCAGTTTATCCTCAAAGAAGAGAAACTGGATTAATTGTAAAATGCTAAGTTTGCAAAAGCCTGTGCCTAAAATGTGTATAAATCACACATTTAAGATTGAATCTGATCTAATCTGGCCAAGAGTATAGGGTCTAGTTAGTAACGTAGATGCATACAGACAAGCATGAAGCGAAATCGAATGAGGCAAGAATGAAATTACTCTGGATTAGAGCCGACTAGTAAAATGCATAGAAGGATATAACCATGTGGAAAAACATATCTTTTGAGTCCAGGGTATGCAGATCACATAGAAGGACATTAGAATCAAGACGATTAGTTGTACTGTTCTGAAGTGTAACGATGCAAATCCATTGTTCCCAGTAAAAAATATTTTGGAATGTGGACCCCATGATTGCTTTGAACATTTTCCCCCTTAACTGTCGCTTATCCTCTGGAAACATGACTAATTTGCACCCCTGATTGAAAGTAAATGTAATATTCCATAGATCAAGCCATACTATTGGCTTTAACCTCTCACGTAAATATGGTCCATGAAGTGAACAATGTAATTACGATCAAGCAGAGGGGCACACCATCTTTGGCTTCATAACTACGATTGCAATTTTTCATCCGCGAGTCTTATAATTATCCCTTTATGGTCTAGGCTTGCATCTGCCACCGTCCATCGGCCAGGGGCATCTTGAGAGTGCGCCCTTCCGAACCGACATGTCCGAAGGCCAGGCCAACCATGAACAAAAGTACCTACCAGCATCATCTTATCTGCACTTCTCGCATTCTTGCCGCAGCCGTCTCGCATCCACAATTTGCAGGTCTTCATTGTACCAACAGCTTTATTCAATCGTAGGAAATTACTAGATGGCCCTCCGAGATAAATTTTACCAAATAAACACATTCCAACAACGTTCATATTTCCAGACCCAGAGTCCTGCTGTCGTAGTAGCGATATCTCCGGTTTCAGCCGCGCCTATTTGTCGCAGTAGTTCTCGACTTACTTCATCGTGTGTAGACTGTCTTTAGTTGTTTACGTTTACCCCTTCATCTGAGACCTCAGGTGAAATTGACGAACACCATACTGCTCAAGTTGAACCATACGTACGTCGTAGCTACGAAGAGTAACTGGATTTAGACGAGTGCCTCAAGATAAAATTCTTGGGGGGACTTTCATTTCGTACAAAAGTGTATGACTAAGAGAATCGAGGGTCGACCTCACCAGAAAACGACAGCTGATTCCCAATGTAATTCAGCCATTTTGCCTTAATACGACGGTGAGCCCAGCCCTCATCAAGGATTTTTCCTCGAATAATTAAGCTTTAATGACCGGGGTCTGACATTAGGCCTTCGTAATTACTCTGATTTAGGACCATGATTGCGTACAGACGTTACCACACACACTTACACGTATACACAGACACACCCAAGTAAAAGTACCATAATATGAAATACGAATTGCCAAATAATTATACACCTATCTAAATCTATATATTTTCGTTTTCAGTAATGAGTATACATAAGGCGCAAAATCAAGATGTAAAGTTTGCTTGACCTAGTGTTAACTTAGGACTTAAAGAATGAGTTCTAGCTCTGTTAATATCCTGAATATGATGAACTAAGGCTTAGACTGTTTTCATCCGAAACTAAGATAGATGTCTTGTGAACTGTATTAACATGAACGACCTATTAAAGCCAAACGGCTGCAGTACAATAGGAATCAGTCGTCGTCTTCTGGTGAGATCGACTTACGAATCTCTTCATCATGCACTTTCATAAAAATGAAAGTCTCCCTAAGTATAGTGATCCTCACAGACACTACTCAGTATATCGTTTATACCACCTAATTTTACCACGGCCAATACCAAACTGCTGAGATAAACATAAATAATATTTTCTATTTGAAGTATATTTCCTCTGTTATCGCGTCTTGGTTTTGTTTAGAGATGAGTTCGAATAACTCTATAACCGTGAAAATTGTTTTTATATGATCTAATATCGATACGACACTTGGGGAAAAAATCGTTCCCAATTATTGTGTGCATGACCATCAGGTATGCAGCTATATTTAACACAATAATTTCAGTAGGAAGCGACATTCTTTCAGTCCGCGAATGAATGTAGAAAAGAAACCAAAGGGGACGTGGCTTGCAACACACACACACACATATATATATACACATAAAAAGAGCGAATTTGCTAGAGAGAATACAGAGACATTATGTTTAGGACCATCAAGTTACCACTTAAATTGTGATGGCAAGTAGTACAGATCAGACCGAATAGAAGACAAGTTATCGTATGGTGTGGGGATCGGGAATTGACCCGCCCACGCAGAACCGAAGAGAATGCCCAATTTTGGTAGTCAGTCGTACAGTACAAATTGGCAGCATGGAGACTTAACTCGAAAGTTTATGTGCATGCTAATCCCAATAATTAATGTAATTGTCTTGCAGAGGAAAACTGGGCTGAATAACATATGGTGCAATTATAAATGGAATTTCCTCTCTCGTCAGCCTGAGTGACCAAGTCCGGCAATGACAAAGTCGAATCGCGTAGCAACCCTGCAGTCTGGTAGGGCGCGCCTCAGCTGGTGCTTTGGGTGAATAGGCAACAACACTTGGGCGAACGCCTACGAACCAATGTTGGCTGGTTAGACCTTGTATGTTGCTATCAGTGCATGTGTCCCTGAAGCCCAGGAAGATGGAACAGTAGAAACGTCCTCTCCACAATGCAGGCTTGGAATGTGTCGGAGTTGTAAGGACTTCCATTTACTCCGATTCCACCTTACCTCCTGTCATTGAAGATGCAAGACAGGCGTCACTCCTGATAGAAATCAGGACCAAATCGCCCCGACATAGTCAAAAATCAATTCCATTCATGGCATACTGCCTTAGTAGCATATATCGACATTACTGCAAATATTATATGTACCAAAGAAGCA